ACGATGGCTGTCGGTGTGAGTTTGGTGACGCAGGAGAACTACCCACGTGGTCCTGCTACCACGTGCAGGACCTCTCTCCTCTATCACTCCTGAGGTCTTTACTCAACTTTTCTTTCTATGGGGTCCCTCTATCAACTTTCCTCGACTCTTACCACATGGATTCACTTGTTAGCTTTAGAAAAATATTCTACATACTTTATTTGTTACATTTCCAATACAATTGGACTATTCAATCATCAACCAATATGTCTTTATCACAATTTTTTATGTTTATCAAATGAATATTTTCAGCGTGGAAAATATTTGCCTCCACTTACTATGGTAATGTATTGATTTTTTCACTTGAATAGATTTTTTTCTGATAATGTAATTAACGATGTTCTGAGAATTATTATTTTTAGGATAAATTATAGGATTGAATAAAATTCCTAAAATATCTATTTGCATAAATTTGTAAAGATTTAAAATATTAGATTATATTTCAGGATAATAACTATTTTTTTTTATTGTTATTGTCAACGGAAAATGAAATTCCAAAACAAGTTAAAAATATTTTTCAAACTTTTCTAGACAACTACTACGTATTGTAAAAAATGATTTTTTACGTAGCAAAAAATTCTATGTCATTGATTTGACATCATGAACTATTGCCCTTTAACTGAATTTTTGACATTTTGTTGTTCAGTCGAACTAATTTGTAAAATTCAAACCAAATAATAGAACAGTAAAAATCTGAATGAAATCTCATATAAAAATTGAATTTTTTATTTAACTCAATACTAAATTTGAATTACTCGAGTTTTAATAATAATTGTTAATTTATCGTTACTATTGTTACCCCTTTCGGAAGATTATACACAATAAATAAATTAAATTACATTAATTACTCATTTAAAACCAATTTAGTACAACTGATAGTCTAGTTAACTCCAATATAGTTATTTAATTAAACAATTAGAATATGACACTTGATTAATTAATTAATATAACAATAGATACCAATACAGAAATATGCTTTCTAAATCATATGTGTTTCATAATTTCTTCTATTCAATTTTATTATTCTAAACATATTTTTCAACCCACAGAAGTTACTACCTTTTTTGTTATTCAGATGATTAAAATTATTGTATAAAATGAATTGATTCAATTTTACAGACAATATTCCATCAATAATTGTAAAATAAAATTTAATTTTTACTTTTAATTAATTAAATTAACCTTTCAATTGCCATGAACTAATTTACCATCCTTGAAAAAGGATGAAAATATTTTTTGTAATTAAAAAAAAAAAATTACCTTTTATATAAATCGTCATTTTACAATTGATAATAATCGAAATAATGTAACACACAACTATTAAAGATATAATCTCATTAAACGATAGAATTATAAAATGATTTTACAATCAATTTATATAATAAATTACACACCAAGGATTCCCCCCTAGCTGGAATTTCCCAACTTTGAAAATTTATCTTAAACTTTCTATGAGGTCTTCTCAACTATCATTCAATCCTTACCACATGCAGGACTAACTTCTAGGCGTGGGAAAAATATTTTTCCTTTAAAAAAACATCATTTACATAAAGTAGAAACATCTTTTTCTACATTCAATCATCTAATGAATGATATTACAATTAATTGTCATAAAGAGTGAAAAAAATATTGCGCGAGGATAGATATGATCTTGTAGCCACTAACTCTGGATTTTCTAATGCATGACTATGGCCGGAAGTGCTGAGAGCACTCACGAGACCTTGGGAATTCAAGGCAGTAGGAAACTAGGGGGACAAAGTGTGCAATCTCATCCATCGCGTTTTCAAGTTAATAAAAAGAGTCAACGTTTAGGTCATAGATTAATATTTTACCATATTTCCGAGGACCCACATTGAATATTATTTCTTTGTTCAGTGAGGTCATGACAGTTATAAACTTCAAAGTATTATTATCTGTTTTGACTACCTCATCATCTGTATGTTCAACTTTTATATTATTATATTTTTTTTTCAAAGTTTTAAGCTGTAACATATATTTCAGTAGTAGATATTGTTGTTATCTGTTGCGTAGGTCTAGGTTCTCAAGATTTTATCTGATAGATAAACTAAGAATTGATATTGACACTGAAGGTTTTCTCTGTTACACTTTACGTAATTTTTTTTCTCTTATTTATTTCACTTTTTTTCTTGTTTAAATTAAAAAAAAAACAAACAAACTCTAATCAAATGTGATAAAAAAGAATTGAATGAAGTTAAAGTTTAACAGAAATACTTTGAATGTTATATCATTTAAATTACAATGTTATCATATAATGACCCCAATCTAGAGATGCTGGAGAATAACATGACTTCATTTCTCAATATTTTCACCTTTTTCTATGTAAGCAATTAACATGTGCACAAGTTTCATTTACTATAGAATAAATTGAGTGGTTTTTTTCATTTTTTTTCTAACAAAAATCAATAAAAGCAACCATGAAAAGTTTTTTTTTTCTCTTATTAACTATAATATCGCTGAAAACATTCAAGTATCTCTTTATATAAAAGATTCAAACACCAACTCAAGCAGAATTTAATTAACTATGGCTGTTTTCTTTAAATGGAGAGAAAATATTTATAAAAAATATTATCATAATGATTTAAACATATGATCTCATATTTAAATAATTTTTGATAATTTTCAGATAGTCTGTTATAAATTTTCATTGAAAAAATAAAAATATTTCATTTCATTGGATTATTTATTTGACTTGGTAAAACGAAAATTGTCAAGGGTCAATGAAAGTTATCTTGTGAAATACAATCCAGGTTTTTTTGAATAATAAATTAATAAAATTCTTTACTCGAATTATCATATGAGAAAATATATAAAAAAAAAGATATATATATATATATATATTTTGTCTGCACATGTAAAGTAAGAAATGAACGTTTATCAGGAAAATATATTAAATCTCACACCTTTGAAGCAACCGTCAACTTCACTTAGCAAAATATCAGATGGTTTGCAGATGTTATTAGACACTTGATCATCGTGATTTTCAATTTTCACTCAGAGGACAACGATTTTACTGACCTTATTCATTTGTCACACCTAGCGAAATGTAATCAATGGCTAAAATAATCAACTTTGTCAATTTATTCTAAAAACATAAGAACATAAGTTGATGATTGAATATCAATTTATTTCTAATGCTAACGATTATCAATATTGTATAAAGTTCAGAAGAAAAAGAATATCAATTATCAATTAAATATATTTCTTAATTATTATTAATTAATGATTGATCACAGTTTTCTATAGTACCGATGTGGTTTTAAAGACTTTATAAAAAAGCAGATGGCAGTATCAGACACGAAGGATCCCTCAGAGAAGAAGGGCGATGGAAGACGAAGCGCAGAAGAAATCTTTGGTATGCAAGCCATCCTATCCATGAAGATGCAAACGATTTTTTTTTCGTCTCTTCCAGTCTTGCGAGATCCACGAACCGGCTAAGTAAAGTATGAATTTCTCCCTGAAGAGATCCTACAGGTTTCACTTGATATAAATATCCGAATCGTTAATAATATCATAAATGTAGAAAGAGAATGTAATAAAAATTTGAAAAAAAAAAATTTATCTTATAAATAACTTTTACAGCCTATTTTTAAATCATTTCATTCATTTAATATTAATTTTTACGATACTCTGAAATTGATAAAAGAATTATTTGAAACTAATTGTAGCTATAAAGACGTTTAATAGATATAAAAAATCATAAAATGTAACAAAAATGTTTTCACTAGTTTGTGAATATCTACTTCTTCAATGAAAAACATGCATTTCTTTAGGACATTAACATTTAAATGAATCAATGAAGTTTTATAATGACAAAAATATTCATTGGAAATTAATTAATAATATAATAAATAATTTATTGAGAGTGATTTTATGCTAATTTTAGTTTGAAACAACTTTATATTCTAGTTAAACAAATATAAAAAAGACATTTACACAAGAATGCATGGAATATTAATAATGAAAATAAACTAAACGACAAATTTATAAATAATTAATTCCAACTATTTTTAAAATGAAAACCAGACTCTTTAATATTTTAATTTTTTTTTTTATATAATAAATTTAAAGAAGGTAAGAAAAAAATAATTAACAGACCATTTTAATATAAATGTTGGACTGTATAAATAAATGTTACTTATAATAATATAGTGTTGATAGGAAAAAGTCACGCAAAAGTAACTTCTTTCATCTATCTATGTGCATAAATGCAACATACATAAATAATTTTTTAATTAAGATAAGTTTTTCACAGCAATAAGAATGATTGAAAATTTTTTAATGATGTCATTTACCAAGGTTATGAATGAAACTCTGACTTTTAAACTTGTCTATCAGATAGACAATCTTTCATAGCTGTCAGGTATTTGATGACAATAAATACTATCTTCTCAGTTTACTCTTTGGCATGATCATTCAATCTGCCTGAATAAAACCAAATATTACTAGTCAGAACCTACTTAGCACCAGTAGTCTTTAAAATATCAATCCAAACAATTTATTTTGTTTTGTGTTTCAATTCTTAATCATTTACTTAATTGTTTTTTCTGTCATTGATATTTTTTCTATTGTCCAATCAATTATTAAGTCGATTATTTTTTTGGGAATATTAAATTTCAAAACTTTAGTTCCATTAAATTTCGTAAATGTAATCTACTCTCCTAATATTTAAAAAGGCTTGTGTGTGTTGGAGGAGTAAAATGCCAAGACTTATTTGTCAAGATAAATATCAAACTAGTTTATACGATATTATTGCTAATATTTAACAGTCAAAATTGATGTGAACCAGCTGAATAATCGGGATTTGAAAGACATTAGCAGCTGAATCAAGATGTTGGTAGCGGGGAAAGTCAATGTCACATGTTTTCAATGGCCTTCGGTAACAGATATTAGGCTATATCTTTTGATAATGACGAACAGGCAATGCGTGTCCGGGTACTTACGTTTTTTTCTATTATTTCTTTCTTTATTTTCCACTCCTCCCTTCTCATCTGCACCGGCTCGGCTCCGTTTCCGCGGCGTCTCTTCTCCTGCACCGAGCACGGGACTCACTTCTTCTTCCTCGCGCCGTTCTCTCGTTCTCTCTCACTCGTTTATATTCTCTCTTTCTCTATCTTACACTATCTTATAACTCTTTAACGCGTTTCTCTGACTTCTAAGCACCACTTAAGTTTCAATTATTTTATTTCACACACTAGCATTGTCTTTAAACTTAAGATCTGAGGTAATAGACGATTAATGAAAAAAATATAAAACAAAATAAAATTAAGTGCACACGAGTGTCAGCTCCTGAGTTTGATCAAAACCACAATTTTCGTGACGTCATGCGGGCGCGGGCATGCGCAAATGTATTTTGGTGATTTTCCATCTACCACACCGCGCGAGAAACTACACAATGTTTCATCAACACGACACCACTCACAACACGTGCGATTATCTTGAATTTTGATCATACGCTCAGAACCTTTGGTTTTACCCGTTTAGAACCGCCTTCGCGATCATGCATCGCTAAGACACTCGAAGCATTATCGCGTCGAAGCGGTTAGGTCGCCTGCAGATATCGAGGGCGATTCGCGAAAACCACAACCGTCGCCGATATCCATCCATCCACTCCCACTTGTTAAATGACGTCCACTGACGTCATCGATAGTTTACCTTGAGGCATGACATTGAGCTCCATAGCCGCCAACATCCACTTGAAAAACTCCCAACCTAAAAAACAAGATTCTACTAAACTAACTTCAAGAAAGTTTTTACTTCACTTTTATAACTGAAAATAAATTCATTCGTTTTACACAAAACTAACAGAGTTTACTTTTCAACATGCCAATAAATACTGGTTGAAATCTGAAAATAGTTTACACTAGAACCCTTTTATTCGATATATCGAAATATAGCTTTGTTTAATTTTTAATTTGGGCCAGTAGCGCCATCATTGATTAAGCAGGGTGTACAAAGTAGAAACGAAAAAATTCTAAAATGATAATTGTTACTACCAGACATGTAATTTCTCGAACAATTGTAAACATTGACTTACTAACACATTTTTGTTTGGAATATGATCGATTAATAAGTAATTCATTATAGGACTTCAGTCGTATATTCTGATGTTTAGTTGTCTAAGGAAAAACTAAGAGGAATGAACTATAGACAAAACGGTTGACGTGACAAATGACATAACGTATGAAAACAATTGGAGGAAGTGAATGTCACGACTGCAAAAATTATATTAAAAAAGAGAGATGTTAAATGCAACTGCATAAATTCCACGTATTCTGAATGTGTAAGTAATCATTAAAAATTCAATCTTTTGTTCAAAAGAATTTTTAACCGGTTATCAGTGACTATATTCAAATACAAAACACGACCTCCGAAATTCTAATTTTTTCACTGTTTTCCATTCAATTGAATTAATTTCATAAATTTATTATTCTATGATAGATTGAACTAACTCATTATCATAAGATGTTGAACTATTATTGATAGGTTCACTCAAGGTTTGAAAAGGATGGCTTGTTTAGAAACAAAGCCTCAGTTGTACAGCAAATGGTGTAATAAAACTTTAAAGGATAAATTTAATACAAATTCTAATGAGTTAGAACGTAACTCCATGATGAATTCGAATATAAGTTCACCACCAGTTGACCATGTGGATCTACAAGAGATTAATGACAAAATTTTATCATTAAAAAATTTATTGCAACAAGATCTTCGAGCTGCTGATCTTAGATGGTCCTTTTTCGTTGCTGCTTGCAACACCTATAAACATAATAACTGCCTCAAACCATTCCCTCCAATGTATATTACTAACGGAATTAAAGATATTGAAGCATTAGTAAGTTTTAATAAATAAATTTTTAGTAATTGATTTCTAATTAAAAATATTTTGTTGTTAAGAGAGAAACTATTGAAGTCATTCCACCTCTTGCCATTATTAATGAGCGTTTAGAAGATCCCAACTTTTATGACAATCACAAAGCAACAATAAATTTATTGCACTGGGTGCTAATAGGTCTTCGAGATCCTTTTATGAAATCTGTAAATAAAGATACTGTGAGTATAATTTATTTGAAATTAATTAATGGATTATTTGAAATATAGTTAATTATTTTCATTTATAGTATGAGTCAATAATAAACAAAGTTCCATCCGAATTAGTCGCAGCAAAGCCAAATTTAATATTCGAACTAGTTAGTCCAAATCAATCAGCTAAAGAAGATCGATGGAATGCTGTGTCTAAAGGGTACTCTACATTTTTTGCATATCATGGTAGTCGTTTAGAAAATTTTCATTCAATTTTGCACTATGGAATTCAACAGAGCATGAGTAAGGTACTTTTCACAACCTATTTCTTTTTCTATCAATCATAAAAACTTTTAAAATAAAACATTTTTAAAATATATTTATCAACAGAATGGAGGAATATTTGGAAATGGAATTTATCTGTCAAGTGAATTGGAAGTGAGTTTACATTGGTCTCCAGCAGGCTACGGATGGGGAGGAAGTGTAATAGGTAGTGATATAAGTTGCGTCGCATTGTGTGAACTCGTTGATCATCCGGATGTTAAAAGAGGCAATTCAGGTAATTACTATTGATCTCTCTATTAACTTCCATTCATGTAATTAAATAAAAATATTGAATAAACTATTTGTTAATATGATTATTATAGGCAATTCTGGGGATACCTTACAAGTTGCTCTTGGAAATAAAGTACCAATTAAGTATTATTTAGTACAAAACAGCGATTTGGTACGAGTTCGATATCTCTTGGTGTACAGTAGAGATACAAGCACCACTAAGTGAAGTATCTTTCTATAACAATAATGAAATAAAATTATTAAAATGTAGAGACAAAGTTTAATTTAATCATGCAAAATAACTAAATGTCAATAATAATTTTCAGACATACCGAAGTCAATGGAGTTATAAAATGGTTCAAACAAAATAAGTTTTTAACTTTACTTCTCGGTTATTTTGTCCTCCTTGTCTCAGTAGGATTATCACAAAATAAAAACGTTGAAAGATACTACAAACTATTGATTAAAAAATTCGGATTAGACTAATTATCCAGTTAGATAAAAGAAATTATAAGAAAAAATACTTTTTAATTAAACATATATAATCGAATTGACGGCTCAATATGAGCTTCACTTATGAACAACTTTTTTGAAATTTTTTATGGAGTACTGTTTGTCATTACTTCTTTTGTTGATAGAAATATAAAGTGCAATGTTTATATGTCATTTGTATCCATTATTATAATAAAAGTTGTTATTCTTTCTAATAAAATACAATAATTGATCCAAAATAATATGTAGTTAATGACGTTTTAAAATTATGGGAAAATTTTCTGTCACAACATAATCATCTTCAAAAACGACAATGAGATTTACTTCAAACTCTGCAATACAAAATTAATTTTAAACAGTTGATCCTGTGTTTGATTGAAGAATAAAAAAAGAGATTAAAAAGATTATTTACCTATTTTAAAATTGCTTGTGTTCAATGTTGGACATGTAAATAATCGTGGGAAGATCATGTAAATGGGAATGGCAAGTCCTGTACAAACATTCCCTTCACCAATTTGGATATTTTGAATTTCTGTCGCTTTAAATATAATCCACAGTTATTTCTTTTAATCATAGATTAAAATATTATTTATAATAACTATTCATTACCATCTCTAGAGTAACCTTCAGCACATCCACAAGTCTCAACTCTAACCAATTGTAATTCTACTGACTTTATTATGCTTCACTTCTTTCAATAATGACTTCTCCTGTTAATGGTTCAGATAATTGACAAATAACTTTATCTATTTGTCCAGTAATGCAAAATCTTGGGACAGAAGCTTTATCCCGAATATTTTGTAATGACTCAGGTATTATTTTAAATTGAACCGGTTTATTTAATTCCTTTACTTCTTTTCCTAATAATGGTTTATCTTCTACCATAAATTCTAATGACTTAGTAACATCTTTTGCTAGAAAGCTTCGTTTTATATCACATTTTATCACATATTGAATATTTACAAAAACTCCATGATAAGTTTCATAGAGAGTTTTAGATCCTCTTGGTCTCAAAGGAAGTTCAAAAGGTATTTCTGTTTTTCCACTTGGAATTTTACCTGCTGGAACTACATCGAGTGTATATTGTACCAGTTGAATTGGCTAAAAATATAAGAAACAATATTGTTATTAATTGAATGATGCGTTTATTGCTCCAATTTTATTCCATAAATATTACTCACTTTAACTGAGTTATAAAAAGCTTCAAATATTCCAACATTTTTGGAGCTTAATTGTAAATTAACAGAACCTTCCATTGTAAGAAAAATCCCATCATGTTTGACATCTGAATTGGTTTGGAGTAAAATTAATCCAGCAACAATTTCCTAATAAATAAACTTTACTCCATTAGTTGTTTGTAACTTTGACTCCAAATTTGAAAATTAAAACAAAAATACTTACTCCTTCATGATAAATTTTACTTGCTCTTTTTAATTTTATGTCCAGATTAATTGACATATTTAAAATTTCGTTTTACTTCCTATGAAAAGCTATGTATGATTAGAGGTTAAATTTAATAATTTATTGTTTTCATCATTTGTATCAATCTATTGAAAAGCTATTATACTTTTTACATAGAGCATCATTAAATAAGGTTTGAATTGAGTATTTGAAGTTTGTTTAAATTCAAAAACTCGTTTTTTTATAAATAAAATAGACAGAAATGGAGTGTCTAAATGCAAAATGTAAATAAAGTATAGGAAATAGTTTATTTTGCCATCTAGGCTCCAAAAATAAAAATTCACTAGTAATTTATTTGTACCGCTCATCGGTAATAATATAGATAAATATTCATACAAAAGTTTAAAATAAATAAATAAGATGAATTTTATTGAGTAATTTATAAATTATTTTTTTAAATATTTTAATTAAAAATTGGAGCTTTTAATAATCCGTTTAAATCTTCTAATAAATAAAATATTTACAGCGTACTTCAAGTGAGATGGCGCTTCTGATTTCCGGTTAAAATTAGAAGCACACGACTGGCCAGCAAACAAATTCAAATCGGCAGAGTCGTTACTGGGAGCCGAACGTTGTTTGTCATTCGGAGGAGAAAAGACTGAAAGGACCCCCAGTTTCTATTCGACGATTAAATTTTATAATTTTGAGTTAAGTGATATTAGTGAGGAATAAAAGACTTGACAATGGCCCTAAGAAATCGCACAGCGTTTACGGTAAGTATAATTAATAAGTTTTCTATTAGAAATAAGCGAAAATTTTAAGAAAAAAACTGTTGCTGGGGAGAGCGGTCACAAACCGTTGGAGGGATGGTGTAACCGTCACTGTGTTTAAATACCCCTGATTTTTAAAGCCCATTATCTTAGAAAATAAAGAAATGAACAATTTTTAATATTACATTAGGCTTTAAGCAGTGAATTGTGCTTATTAATTTTCTTCAAAAATTTCGAAATTTTAGTAAGAAAATATTTGTTTATTTGACATTGATCCCAAGCGTCCTGTATACAAGAAATACCTCTTACAATAAGTTTAGGCGGGATGAGGAGAGGAAAATTAGCGCCAACGGATTCTTATGTCTCTGTATACGTGTCTTCTTTCATTTTGCTTTCTTATACCTACTATTTACATTTTTTCTAAACTAAGAAAACTTAGCAATTCAAGAACGATTAAACATGAGGCCGATTATTACTTATAAACTATTGATTAAAATAGTTGGGAAAAAATTAATTTTATTTATTCGATATTATTAAATGTTTATATTTATATCAATAAAAAGAATAATAATAATTATTGATTGGAAACATTTTTCGCATTTTTTAGAGTACGTTGAATCAAGAAAACGTTAAAAATACTAAATCTGCAGTTAATGCAATCTCAGGACAGACCAGGCGAGCAGCTTTAGGCGAGATTGGTAATCGAGTTCCAGCTCGAGGGATAGAAGTTACTAAAAATGGTGTACTACAGCCGAAAGTATTGAAAAAGCCTCAAGTTAAACAGCTTGCTCAATCTAAGCAGCCGCTAACAGCGAAAACAGAGAAATTACCCGTCCAGATAGTCAAACCGGTATTAAAAGTCGAAGTTAAAGAAGAGGTTGCTCCAGCTGAAATAAAAGAAGAGGTCAAACAAGATATCAAAGATGCTAGACAGGAAATAATTGAAAATGAATTAAAGCCGAAAAATGATGCATTTTCATCAGATCTTTTACAAGTTGAAGATGTTGATGAGGCTGATAAGGATAATCCTCTTCTAGTCACAATCTACAGTAATGATATTTATCGATACTTAATGGAACTCGAAGCCAAATATCCTATCAAAAAAGGATATTTAACTGGACAAGAAGTAACTTACAAAATGCGAAGTGTATTAATTGACTGGTTAGTAGAAGTTCACCAACAGTTTCGTTTACTTCAAGAAACACTTTACCTCACTGTTGCAATTATAGATAGATTCTTACAGGTATTTTGAATTTTTTTAAATAATTTTTTTTTTTAATTATAGTTACTAATTATTATCCGATTTCAGTCTTTCACTACCATAACTAGAAAAAAATTACAACTTGTGGGCGTAGCGGCAATGTTTATTGCATGCAAATACGAGGAAATGTATGCTCCAGACATAAGTGATTTTGTATTTATTACCGACAATGCTTACAACAAAAATGAGATTCTTCAAATGGAGATGTTAATTGTGAGAACGTTAAACTACTCTTTCGGACGGCCATTGCCTCTACACTTTTTGAGGCGATATAGTAAAGTAGCTCGAGCTTCATCCATTCATCATACCATGGCTAAATATTTTATGGAGCAATGTTTGGTTCATTATGAAATGTGCCATCATCCACCAAGTCTCATTGCTGCTGCTGCCATTTACTTTGCTTTTTATGTTATTGGCAATGACGATTCGGAAGTAGGTAAACCCATTTGGACACATACTCTAGCTCATTACAGTACTTATAGTAAAGATCAAGTCTTGCCAGTTGTGCGAGACATTGCCGCAATTATTATTAATGCTGATAAAGACAAATATCAGGCTGTGAGAAAGAAATATGTTCAAGCTAAGCACATGAAAATAAGTCTCCGCCCTGAGCTTAAATCACCTAGTATAATCTCTCTAGCAAATATCGACAACCACTGATTGAAAAATGGTTTTTTTAAGAGCACAGTTTATTTTAATTTTTAATTCTATTTTTAAGAATATCTGGTAACGTCTCCCGAAACAAATCGTTTGTTAAATATTCATTAATAATTTATAAATAATAAATAAGCAATAAAATTAATTAATTATTAAATGATAATAAATAGAAAAAATTTTTTAGATGATAAAATAAAAATTAACAAAAAAAATTATAAATTTTAACGAAATTTCAATTGTGAATATTTGACAAATAATTCGTTTCTTTTTTATGTGTTCTCCAAAATCGGACTTCTCAAGCATGAAGCAATTTAAAACGAGGAGACTTTAATAGAAGGAATGATTATTTTGATTAACTTTATATCAGCTGCACTTTTTTAAAGAATGCTTGATATGAATAGGAGTGAAGACGTGATTTTTTTTTGTATAACATATTACGTTTTAATTTTTATCACGAAATAATAATTATAATTCAATAATTAAATTGTAAAAAAGATTTATATACTGCCACCTATTCTAAATAAAACAATTAGTTTTATTTTCTTCACATAATTCATTTTAAAAAAATTTTTTAATTTACCAGTTCTGACATATTTAATAAGTGCACTTTGAGAAGCATGTTTATTCCTTACTTGATTTTTTCAAGAACTGGAATTTTAAAGGAACTTATAAAATAATTATTTCTGATGCTATTATTGTACTATTATCGTTTTCTGACATTTAATTATTATAGTAAAATAGGAGTATATATAATCACATGAAGATTTTGTTATATAAAACATATCTTTACATATATTCAAGATAGAAAAGTATTATCCTTTATTTTTTCGAACATATAACCAAAAATCACTATACAAAATAAAATATGCCAGATTCTATTTGTTTTGTACATAAAATGCTATAAACTTTTTGCTTTTAATATTCAAAGAAACAAAATTTATAAAATATTAAAAAATATTGACAAAATAAAAAATATATGGATAATAATGTAATATATTTTTACTCAAACATATCTATGAGCATTTACCGGATGATTTTATGAATCTTCCAAAAAATATAGTATAATTTTTAGGCGGTATAGTGAAGTATCTAGTGTAAAAGAAAGACGATGTAAATAAAAAAAAATCAAAAGAAGTTATTGTTTGTTATTAAAAACCATGTTTCATTATTCATTATTATTTACATATTGATCGTGACTTTGAAAAGGATGATGGTGGTGGTGGGAATATTTCTAAAATCCAATTACAAGATATAACGTCTGGTGGATAGGTAAATTTGGGCTCCAAAATGTGTTGTGGCATATTAGCATCCGTTTCATTATTCGGTGGATCTACTTTACTGAGATTTTTTAACCAAATATCGTGTTTATTCTTTTCAATCATGTTTATCATTTCTATCAAAGAATTTTGAAGTTTTTCTGCTAGTTCGTCAAAATAAAAGTTCAATAAAATTCGATTAATATTACAAACTTCTTCTCTTTGAGCATAGGAGTTTGAGGCAATGTTATGAATTGCTTGAATAATGGCTAAATCTTCAAAAGCACTACCTTCTTTGATACTTAAAAATTTTCTTTCGTGTTTCCTTTTATTTTTACTTGATCGGTAGCTTCTGCCTGAAGTTCTAGAACTTTTTGAGCTGGTAGATGTGACCGATCCTGCGACACTGCTAGTATCACTTAATAAATCACTAAATTCTTGTCCAGGTTCTTCATCTTCGAAATTTTGAAAATTTCTCGTTAGAGCTTCAGCTTCTTTTCTAGCTTTTTCTTTTCGTACAATAATTAATCTATTTTTCAATCTTATGAATTCTTCTTTATTTTTATTTATTTTATCATCAATATCAATTGCGTGTTGATAAATTCCAGGTTTCACATGAGTTTCAATTAAATCCAATCGTTTTGATGTATGAGTTACTCTCAAAGCATCTCGCCACTCTCTACCTTCACATAAAAGTGATACAGCTTCTTCTGAATTTCCAAGGTAAGCTAAACATAATTCAGCAGCATCTCGATACCTTCTATCTTCTTTCAACTGAGTGACAAGGTCTTCATAAAATTTATTTAATTCATTTGGATTCAAATTCATTTTTGTCGATATTATGATGGCACTTTGCCAACTTCCAATTATTTTATACATTTTTAATGCACTTTCCAGGTCTCCATTTCTTTCAAACATAATTCCCGCTTCACGATAGTGTCTATTTTCGGATAAATATTGTCCATACATCTTTTCTATTTCTTTATATTCTTCTTTATCCTTGGGAAGTAATTTTATTGCCTTGAAGTACAAATTATGATTGCGAATTAATTCTATACATTCATCAAATTTATCTGGACACTTGACAATGTGCTCTAAAGCAGACTCGTATCGTTTTAAATCTTTATCGATTTTATATTTTCTGTAATTTTCTTCTAATTCAGCTAGGCTGTTTAAATAAGGTACATATTCTTTTGGATCTTTTTGAGATTTCACCGCAACATACTTGGTCAAATCCAAGTCATACATTCCTAGAGCGATGTCATAAAGCATATTTACATCTACGAGATACAAAAGATATTTCAAAGCTTCATCAGCAGATTTTAGATTACCTTCTGACATTTCTTCTTTCATTTTATATTCTTTAATTTTCCATAAAGCAGTTTCAATACCAGGAATATGTTTATTTTTCACTAGAGATGTCAGAATAGGTTGTATAAGATTTCTATCTGATTTTTCTTCCATTATTTCTCTCAATAATCGACAGATTGACTCAACTTTACCCTCTTTTGGAGTAACATCATGTTCTTGTTCACTGTAAGAAGCTTGGTAAATTGTTTTGGTGACGTCTTCCTCTTGTAGTTCTGCTATAAATAAATTCAACCACTGAGAATTTTTAATGGAGTCGACGAATTTTTCAGCATTATCCATGAAAAGTTTTGGATTGTGATCATAAATAAGATTTAAATTGATGCGTTGTTTCCTCATAATGTCAAAAGCTTGGAAATAATTCAAAGCATTGAGATGATTTTTGAGGATATGTAAAGATAAAGGTCGAGGCTGTATAACTTCAAGATTCCCACGATCCATTTGTAAAATGACTTTAGAATCGTAAGGAATAGATATTATAAGGCTTGATGATCTTTCCACACGTCTAATGTCTAAGCCTAAAAATAACAATTATGAAAGAATGTTTAAATAATAAATTTGATAACTACTTACCCCTTGGATGTTGTTCTTGACATTCATTGGTCCATGGTTGAATGTTTAAATTTGTCATAGAAAGTCTTTCAAAGCCATCAGCAGTTAGGATGACACAAACTAAAGTATCTTGATGAGTTGTAAGTAGAAGAAAATCTGAGTGAACGCTGAGACTAGTAATATTTTGTGCGACAATTTTGCTGTTAATGTAAAGACCGTTTGTACTTGTAAGTGTTACGATTACATGACGATTTTCCATCTCTACGACTTCCATTTGATCACAAGGATCGCCAATAAATATTCCGGTCTCTGTTACTCCTTGGCCGTCAACATATTTTAACACATGAGAGCCTACTAAGACGTAAGCAATATTAACATCCGGAGATGACACGATATGCTGTACATAATTATTCATCTTCAATGCCTCCCTGTTTAAAACCAAGTAAACCGTTAAATGTCAATTACTTAGTTAACTCAACTGTGAATTAATTAATAATTTTTTTTTACCTCACTACTATGCGACCTCCATCTTTATCAGGATTTATATTCTCCAAATGAATAATACACAAATAGTTAAAATTTTTTGATAGGGATGATAATGAGCATAAAATAGTATCTTCTTTAAGCCATAAGAAATGATGCATTGAATAATAAATATTTTCGTTCTGAATTTCTGGAACTTCCCACTCAATTTTATAAGATCTAACATATTTATAAGTCAATGAATCTACCTGTGATAAAAAGAATAATGTTAATTATACAACGTAAAAAGTAAATATTGAAAAAAATATTTGAAATCTTACATCTTCATAAACACATAATGCCAACTGGTTATTTTGTAATAAAGCAAAAAAAGAATTGGGATTGAGCCAACTTTGACTTCTTGGTGCAAAGAAGCATTCATTAATCGCAGAATTAATTTGTAAGGAATAATGGGACATTGGTGGTGGCACGATGCCCATTCTAAATCCTGTCAAAAGAACTTTATCACCATCTATAACTCCTACAACAGCTTTATCATTCATTTCAACACATCTGCTATGATTCACAGCCCATGTAAACTGGTAAATCATCATGTTTTCCCTTGTCAACAAGATTAACTGTTTATTTGCAAACGCCCAAGTAAAATATAGCAAATCGTCTTGAGGAAACTCGATTGTTTGTTTCAAATACCAATGATAATTTTTAATAGTCCATAATTGGAGAAGGCTTTTTTTATCTTTTTTTACCCACATTGTTAAAATTTCTGAATCTGGTGACCATAATAATTCTTTTATTTCAACATCCATGGCTTTAAAAGGTAAAGTAAACTCTCGATGTTTTAATCCATTTTTTTCAAAGAGTGAAATTACATACTTATCAGTTAATTGTTGGGGTGCTGATATATAATTTCCTGAAGGTCTCCATGCAATCATTTCTTCAAGACCATGGGTCAACTCAGATGTATACTGAAGTACTCCAACGCGATTAAATACTTTAAATTGTCTTATATCAGATTTTTTATTAAAAAAGCTAACTGCAAAAAGTGCTCCATCTCCTCTCCATGTAATATATGATTTTCCAGAGTCTCTTTCAGTTTTACCAACAATTACTTGTTTTGCTGTTGCTGCTGCTTTTCCTTCAGAGCCATGGAATTGTGTGGCTTTATGGCCCCATCCAACAGTAACAAATTGTTTTTCTCCAAAATCTTCAGACTCTAAATCGATTTCTGATAATGTTTCTTCTAAATCAGAAATTTTGGTAATAACTCTATTATTACCAGTAACCAAAACTAGAATTTTTTGATCTGGACTCAATTGAATACATTTTAAACCATCATCGAAATGAGTATTAATCTCACTATGAGACGGCAGTTGAGTCCGTACTTCTATTAAATCTCCAGAGTCATAGGCAATGTAAGCTATGTTATCGCTCAACAAATATGCTATACCAACTGGTTTAAAATTCGGATCAATGTCAATTGTACACAAAATATTTAATTGTTCCGCTTCTTTAAGATTGTAATGATATACAATATTTGAAATAACAATAATCAATGAGCTATCACTGGAACATGAACAGCAAACTTTATCAAGTTGAACTGTATTTTCAAATTTTTGAAATATTTTTTCCAGATTTTCCTTTAAATCATAAACTTTATGATGATGAACTTTTAAATTTTTCATTTTTCTTGTTTCTGTATATAATATCTTCTAAAAATGATATAAATATAAATTTCTATAGAAATCAATGATTTGTCTTAGTTTGTATATTACAGCATCACCTATAAATTTTTATAAATATAATTTTATTAACTCCAAATTAACATTATAATTTAATATTGTATAAATTATTGCACTTTACCTGTTGATAAATATTTATACATATATAAATAATTATTACAATGTGATGCACGTGGTTGTTTTATTTATTTTAAATTTTTAACCTATAAATAATAAAGATTTCATTAATTTCTATATTAGTTATTAACTTCACAAATATTTAAATAATAAAATGTAATCTTATTAAATTTTTACACCATAACTTAATGTCAAATTATGTTACTGTAAAATTATCAATTATTTACCTGTAAAAAAAAATCTGCACTGAATCTGTATACTGACATTTCCAATCGCAATTGACTTTATCAACATGACATGTGACTTGGTAGTTCATACTAGAGCTCTTCTGAGAAAAGAGGCACTCACAGTTTTTTCCAACCAATCGATTTAATGGCTATTATTTGCTTATCATAACAAGTATCAAGTCTGAGGTTCTCTTATCAACAACTAAATTTAGATATAATGTCATAAATAACGATATGAAAAGACAATAATATTAGTTATTCGTGTAATTTCAAGAATGTACATTTAATTATTACATACATTCTGTTGATTGATATGACTGTACTTGAAAATTTCTATTCGTTCGTATTGTTATTAGATGTAAATAAATCATAATAATAAAGTATTTTCCGAACACATCTAAGTGCGACATCATCAAAAAGTTGATCAACAAAGTAGTGAGAATGAATTGTCATTGAATAAGAACTTGAGTTTAAATTTCGGAATAAATTATTGGATTGATATGTAAAATTCAGAATGTCCCCAGATTTTCCTGTTGTCTGACTTGAACATTTGTGGTGTGATCCAATTGTTAGGCTCACCTTTTTTTCTATTATTCAACTTAAGAACTTATATATGTATACAACTTTATTTTCTCAATAATTTCATCACATTTCAGTAAGTAAACAAATTTATTAATTGTAAACAAAGATGTATGGCTAATACAAACCATACACAATAATAAATAAGTATGTATATTCACATTTCTAATAACAATGTAATTGTTGATAATATTGTTGATAGATAATCTAAAATGGCTGAAAAAATTCCAACAGCACAGATACAGCCGTCTGTCAAAATTGGTAACTACAATTTAGGCCAAACATTAGGAGTTGGAACATTTGGGAAAGTGAAAAGTAGGATTATCTTGCTATTATATTCAAAACAAACTTCAAATTTTTTCTATTAAGTGAGAAATATAAATAAATATTCCATTCAATGTTTCAGTTGGGGAACATATTATAACAAATCACAAAGTAGCAGTGAAAATATTAAACCGTCAAAAGATTAAGAGCTTAGATGTCGTCGGGAAAATTCGCAGAGAGATTGAAAACCTCACTCTCTTTCGACATCCTCATATAATTAAGTTATATCAAGTTATTAGTACTCCAACTGATATTTTTATGATAATGGAGTACGTATCAGGCGGGGAATTATTTGACTATATTGTGAAACACGGAAAACTAAAAGAACATGAAGCAAGACGATTTTTTCAACAAATTATTTCTGGAGTAGATTATTGTCATAGACACATGATTGTTCATCGTGATTTGAAGCCAGAAAATTTACTGTTAGATCATAATCTTCATGTTAAGATAGCTGACTTTGGTAATTATGCATTCAACATTCTTATCAATTGAAAAATCACTAAATAAAACAAATTAATTCATTTAATATGTATTTAAGGTCTTTCCAATATCATGATGGATGGAGAATTTTTACGAACATCCTGTGGTTCTCCAAATTACGCGGCACCAGAAGTTATTTCTGGTAAACTTTATGCTGGTCCTGAAATTGATATTTGGTCGTGCGGTGTTATATTATACGCATTACTTTGTGGAACACTGCCCTTCGATGATGAACATGTACCAACATTATTTAGAAAAATAAAATGTAAGTTTACAAAATTCTCTTATCATACACCTGGCCATTTTATTAATTAATTTTATTTTTTAGCGGGTATATTTCCTATTCCGGAATATTTGAATAAAAGTGTGGTTAACCTTCTTTGTCATATGTTGCAAGTGGATCCTATGAAGCGATCGACAATTGAGGATGTAAAGTAAATAAAAAAAAGTTTCTTTACTTCAACCATATTTGATAATTTTTTTTAATATATTTCTTATACTGATGTTTATTAATTTCAGAAAACATGAATGGTTTCAAAAAGATTTACCGGCATATTTATTCCCGCCTCAAGTAGAGCAAGAGTCCTCGGTCATTGATATAGATGCAGTGAAAGAAGTCTGTGAAAAATTTAATGTCAAAGAAGAAGAAGTTTACTCAGCACTTTTGAATGGAGATGCTCATGATCAATTAGCAATTGCTTATCATTTGATAATTGACAATCAACGAATTGCTGATGAAGCAGCAAAGGCAGAATACAAAGATTTTTATGTAGCATCTAGTCCTCCACCACCACCACTTCCAATTGCAGCAAGTTCAAGTGATTCGATAAACAGTCCGATGAAGCCACATCCTGAAAGAATTGCTCGTAATAAATAAATACATGAAAAATAAATATAAAAAGTGTCTTTACACAAAATCCATTTCTATAAATTATAATATTTTAGCATTCAGAGAGCGTTCTCAGTCAGCAAGTATCCCAGCAGTGCCTCAAGGGAATCGAGGAACACCTGTGAAACGAGCAAAATGGCATTTAGGAATAAGATCACAATCTAGACCAAGTGATATAATGAACGAAGTATTTCGTACCATGAAAAATCTGAATTTTGTAAGTGATTTAATTATTTAGAAACTTTTGGAGCAACTATCATTAATAATTTGATTTTTTCTTAGGAATGGAAAATAATCAATGCTTATAGTGTAAGGGTGCGTCGCAAAAACAAATTAACAAACAGATACAGTAAAATGTCATTGCAATTATATCAAGTGGATTATAGAAGCTATTTACTAGATTTTAAATCATTACCACACGATGAAAGTGAAAATCTCGTGCGAGGTATTTTAAACTAAATTTTATTTTAATTTAACTAATTACGTTTAATACTAATTTCATCCATATTTTACTCGTAGACCCCACACAACCAGCGTTACAACCATCTGGTCATCGCACAATGGAATTTTTCGAGATGTGTGCTGCATTAATTACTCATTTGGCGCGTTAATAGCTTCTCCATTATGTAAAATTTTTTTGTTTTATCTTTTATAAAACTTAACTGCAAAACTTATCAAATATTTTCGAGTTGATAATAGCTACATTTTTAATTAAAACATGATGTGAATCGTGTATATCAAATAAATTATTTTATTTTTAGCCAGTACAAAATATAGTCACATCAAAACATATTTAGATTTCATTAATATAAACTTTTAAAATAAATATTTTTCCTGAATAAAAAAGATTATTCTAAAACATCCGCATCCACATAAAATAAATAGCTATTCATTAAAATTAATTAAGACTATTTTCTAGTTTTAATTACAAGAAATCATTTGAGGATCTGATTGAGAGGGTCCATTTCTAACTGGAACAATTTTTGGTCTTCGAAATAGCAAAATATGTGGCTCTGAAAAAGAGTTTATTGCTCTCTCAACTCCAACAATAATTACAAGTGTAATAATTATTTTCAAAGATATATTTTGTAAGACTTTATAAATACCTGGACCATGCATCATGTAATGTACCCATCCAGGACTTTGTTGAACTCCGAGATTTCTCCATTCAGTTTCTGTCATTAAATGTGACTTTGGAACATGCTTAGCAATATCAGCAGGCAATATAACGTGTCTGGAATAATTAAAACAATTATAGAATATAAGATTACACAAAAACAAATAAGGACGCACACATGATTCTATTTTCTAACCTATATTCGTATTTATCATCACAGTATTTTTCGGAGTATTGAATTGGTTCTACAGACATTTTGGAGTAAAAAGTTTTTCGATTAATTCTAAATTCAGTGTAAAGTGATACAAAAATTATTCAAGTCAAAAAATGATTAAAAAAAATTTTTTTGCAATAAACAAAAACAACGTGCAATTGAACTGAAAAACCGTTACATATAAACTACATACAATTAAAGCAAATACCAATAGGGAGCGTTCTATTCAAACCCGGTTCGGTCAAATCTAATTTACATCAGGATTGTGATAAACAACGAGATTTATGCGTGGTCAAGTGACTTATTCACGTGATGTAACAAAAAATAGCATACAATTTACCTACAATTTATCCTTATATATTTTTGGATACAATAGATTTATTGATACGGCACTGAATTCAACTGAGTCAAGTCTAAACGGAATACACGAGACATCAGTCAATTCGGCCAACTTAGATTTTTGCACTCTATGCATGAATACAAGCCTGATTTAATTTTTTTTGTCAGGCGTAAAAATCACCGGGAGAATGCAAGATAAGAGAATTTTTAAAAGGAATAAGTGTTATCAGTTAATGTTCGACATTATTAAAATTACTGATTGATAGATTTTCTGTGAGGTTAAATTTCAATGATTCTATTGTCGTGTTTCACTTCATTGTTAAGTTTAATAAAATTCAATCGTTGTAATAAATAAGTAACCAATTAATAATTAAATATTTTCTTAAAGTAACTAATTATTTATCAAATGATTAAACATGAATCAATGAATAGATACGGTCCTTTAGTAGGAGCAATCGATGAAGGAACGAGCAATGTGAGGTTTATGGTGAGAATTTCATTACTACAGATTTTGATAGATAATTCTAAATTTTAAAGGATCATTAATTGAGTTATCTATATAAATTAATGTATGGTACTACTTTATGGTAGTTATTAATACTTTAATCGATCAATTTTTCAGGTATTTGCAGCTGACACTGCAGAGGTATTAACATATCATCAAACATCCATCTCACTGCAATATCCGAAAGAAGGATGGGTTGAACAAGATCCAGTTGAAATTATATCAGCAGTGAGAGAGTGTTTATCTCAAACTGTAATTAATCTTGAACAGTTAAGGATTGATCCATCTGATATTGTTGCTGTGGGTATTGCAAATCAACGTGAAACTACGGTAGTTTGGGATTCTATAACAGGAGAACCACTCTACAATGCAATTGGTAAACATACATTTACGATGAAAATTTCTTCCTTGAATATAAGATAATTTCAAGTTAATTATTATTTAACAGCGTGGATGGATATGAGAACAACGATATTAGCAGATGAGTTATTAAAAAAAATTCGTAACCAAAATAAAAACTACCTCAAGCCATTATGTGGCCTCCCCATTAGTCCTTATTTTAGTGCTTTAAAATTGAAGTGGTTACTAGAAAATGTACCAAAGGTACAGGAAGCAGTTGCTAATAAACGATGTATGTTTGGTACCATCGACTCGTGGGTTATATGGGTAATTAGTTAAAGATTTATAAATTTTATGAAAATCTTATTGATTGTTTAATTTTATTTTTCCTGTATAAAATAATAAATACTTTAAATACTTTGTTAGAATTTAACTGGTGGAATCAACGGTGGTGCGCATAGTACTGATGTTACAAATGCTTCACGTACAATGTTAATGAATATTTCTACTTTAAAATGGGATCCAACTTTGCTTCAGTTTTTTAACATACCCAAAGAAATATTGCCACAAATACGGAGTTCATCTGAAATTTATGGTTTCATTCATGAAGGGCTTCTTAAAGGTGTGCCTATATCAGGTGTAAGTAAAAAAAGTAATTGTTATTGACATTGACAGAGATATAAGAAATGATATAAGTTTAATTAAACTTGTAGTGTTTAGGAGATCAGCAATCTGCACTCATTGGTCAAATGTGTTTGCAGCGAGGAAAGGCAAAAAGCACATATGGGACTGGTTGTTTTCTTTTGTATAATACCGGCACTGCAGTAAGATCCATTGATTATCTTTATTGCACTTTTTTCTAATTTATATGATCGTCATCTTTAATTTAAATAATTTTAATATTTTTTAGATTGTTCAGTCAAAGCATGGTTTACTTACAACAGTAGCTTATCAATTAGGACCAAAAGCAGCACCTGTTTATGCTTTAGAAGGATCAATTGCCATTGCTGGAATTATTTTAGATTGGTTAAAAAATAATCTCAATATATTCCCTGATGAAAAAGAGTATGACTCTGAAATTAAAAGATATTCTAATGGAAGTGTTACATTCGTTCCTGCATTTACTGGTTTATATGCTCCATATTGGCATAAGGATGCTAAAAGGTATTAGTTTATACTCAGTTCTTTTTTATTCTTATTCAATTTTTAAATTCTGTTTTGTAGCATCATCTGTGGTATAACTTATAACACAACTAATACGCACATAATTGAAGCTGCTTTGAGAGCAATATGCTTCCAAATAACAGATATTTTGGAATCTATTAGAAAAGATACTGGGTTAAGTTTGGACAAATTACTTGTTGATGGAACTATGACGAGCAATAATTTACTTATGCAAATGCAAGCGGATATATGTGGATTACCAGTGGGTAGGTAAAATACTAGATACATTTTGTTTTTTGATAAGTTAAAAAATAAATGTATTATTTACGAAAGACAGAATAAATTATATTTTAAAAATTGTATCTTCATTTTACAAGGAAGTTAGGCCACTGATGAGTGAAACTTCAGCTCTTGGAGTAGCAATTGCTGCTGGATGTGCAGATGGAATTAAAGTTTGGGATGTTAAAATTGATAATAATATACCAAGTGATACTTTCTTGCCAATGACAGTTGAAGATGGTAATTAAACTATTCAGTAACTCCAAGGTCATCATAAGAGATAATAGTAATTATTTAACATTTACTTTTAGAACGAGAAATTTTACATTGCCAATGGAAAAAGTCTGTCCAAAAATGTTTCGGATGGGAATCTCCTGTTGATACAAATTGTAAGTAACTTAAATTTAAATTAATGTAGCCAATAGTAAATAATTAATGTTGAGATTCATTTCATTTTTCAATGAACAGATGATACTTCCAGAGATATATTCAAAGCTACGTCAGCTGGACTTTTTGCCTTAAGCACAATCCTCATATTAGTCATAGCTAAACATAGGTCATATACATGACTCATTTATGTACATACAAAGTAGCTGTTTTCAAATAATTTTATAGTTTATATATCTTAGAAATTAATTTAGACAATATGACCATCAGCACTAACATAAGTATTATTTATTACCAAATAAATGAGTAAATTCTGGATTAATTATGGTTGATTATTAATAATTATTAAAATTTCATAAATCGATTTTTTGTAACTGTTTTCGTTTTATGTATTTGATCATCAAAGAGAACCATACGATTCATTATTTCGCGTTCTTCAGCATCTGGATTTTTTTGTGAATTAGCCGCAGGTAATATATTTAATGATTTTCCTTGTGATGATTTTTTATCAGATATTACTGATGCAACTACCCAATCATCATTTTTTAATTGTTCCACTGTAGCACGTGATTCTTGAGGTACAAGCATTCGTGAAATAAGTAAACGACATGCGTAGGATACTTTTGGAGCTTTTGGAAACTTTACACTACTTTTTACTTGCTATAAAAAAAATTATTCAGAAAGAATAATTATCGAATTAATTTTTTAAATTCAATTTAATAACGTTTGTTTAATCAATATCCGTATTGATTTGATAAACTAGGTATACCTGGATACCTTTAGAAGTTGTGCATAATTTTTATCATCAAATGGAAGACGTCCATAAACCATGGCATATAATACAACTCCTAAGGACCAAACATCGGAGAGTTGCGGTTGATAAGGAATACCTCGAAGGATTTCTGGTGAAGCATAAGCAAAACTTCCACAAAATGTTTCACTAAGTATTATCGAGCCATCTTGAGGATTCATTTGACCACGAGCAAATCCAAAGTCAGATAATTTGATATTTAAGTGTTGATCCATTAATAAATTTTCACATTTGATGTCTCTAAAAAAAGTGTTTAATAACTATATTTATCATCCTCTAACAGGGAAAATTAATCTTCAGTGATATTAAAATACCGATGCACCACTCCACAACTATGGCAATAAGCAATAGCATCTAATAGTTGCTTAAACCAATGTCGACTTCTTATTTCATCAATATACATATCACGACGAATAATGTCAAGTAGACTACCATTCTGTGCATACTCCATTATTATGTAAACTCTAAAATTTCATCCGTAGTAAATAATTGAATATCTTGCATTGAATATGATAAGATATTAGACTTAATTGTCTCTAAAATTCCAAACCTGTGAGTTGTTTCTATGGCTTGTATAAAACGAATCAAATTTGGATGTCTTAATCCTTTTACAACTTCTATCTCTCGCGGAAGAAATTTCATTAAATAGTCTGACGGAGCATGAAATTTAGATACTATTTTAACAGCCACTTGTGAATCATGTCGTTCTGATTTTGCTATCTAAATAATCATTTTTGAATTATAAATATTTTTTATTAACTTGGTATTATTTGAAAATGATTACTTTCACAGTGGCATATGAACCATTTCCAATAATTTTTCCTAATGAGTAGCCATGTGTTTCAAGGACCGTTTTCTTTCGATCAGTTTGATCGTCATGCTTTTCTGAAGGTGCTGTTTTAAAGGATGTCGTAGGACTTGTAGATGAGCTTGCCATTTTTTAGCCATTTTAATAAAATAATAACATTTTTACTGTAAATGAAAATATATTCAAAATGTCAGAATTAAAATAATATTCAACATTATTTATGTTTCTTATTCTTTTGATTAAATAAATTATAAATTTAATGAATTCTTAACTAAAAAGATATTTCATCTTGCTATTAATTTCTAAATAAATTGATTATAAATTAATGAAAAAAGTATTTTATTACTCGTTTTAATATACCTGATAATTTTACTGACTACAAAAAAGTTAATTATAACTAATAACGAAACAATTGAAAGATGATTAATATTTTTAAATTTTAAATCTTTTTTATCATCAGATTTAAATTTTGGTTAGTTCAAAACTATTTTTAAGTTGAAAAAGATGACTCTGTAGAATTTTGCAAACATACAATATAGTAAATTGCATTATTTGCAAAGTATATATATAGAATACGAATTATGACGTATGCATGTATATAGGAAGAAGCGTGTAACTATTACCTTGTGAATTGCGTCATGAGATTGTTTGTTTACGTCTTGAGATAATAAGACTAATACACGTTATATCACAATAACAATTCATAAATTTGGAAATAAGTGACATTTTGTGGGGAATGAGTTCAAAATACGACAAAAAGTTCAAAAGTAAATGTTTTTTTGCAGTAAAAGAAAATATCTTGACGTGGTGCTCCAATTAATAAACGTATCTATACATACTAATATTAATTGGCTTCTGTTATAAAAAGTTATATACACGACAAATTCCATTTAGAAGAAGAAAAAAATTTCTTTATTTAGCAGTAGATACTTTGAATTGGGAATATAAAAAAATTTTTTTTCTAGATATAACATAGAACATTCGAGAATTTATTCCTGCATCCTTTACGGCTGATAAAATTTTTCTTAGACTGATACTTGATTGTTCTATTTACCATTCATATTTAAAAATGTATGCTTAAAATAGAACAAAATATAAATAAATTTATCAAATGGATTTTAAGATGGGAATTATAATTTTAATAAATACTCTAATGGAAAGTTTTGAAAATGCGCGGTAAAGTGGCAATGAATACGTCATTGGTAAATGAATACGGTAAGTAATTCGAGTACTTTTGGTATTTTATGGCCTTGAATAAGTTTGAAATACATCTAGTATTTTACATATTTAAATTGTAATACAATCGAAATGAATGGGAATTATTCATATTCATAAATTAGAATTCTAGACCATGACAGAGTAGTAAAATCGCTTTACATTAAGGGAAATTCATTTTCTACTCCAATTAATGATCCAGTACATGCCCTTAATAACGAATTAGCATGCAACTGTTATAAATACATTTACAAATTTGACTTGGAACCATTTTTGAAAAATTTAATTTGATAAACTCATATCAAGAGTTTAGATTGATTAATACAATTTACTCATGTTAATTATATCATTACAACTACATTTTCTTGAGCTAATATTTAATTACATTCAAAATAGTTAGGTAATGATTCGAATTTGTATGTTTATATGTTTTTATATTAAATAATTTTTATTACATTAGTACCATCCAGCACAATTATAAAAATATTATCTACAATTCAATTCTTACATTTTGGATATAATAGAATATGAATATACATAGAAGCACAAAATGAGAATTATTTGATTACGTAGCTGTTCAAATATGTAATTTGAATATGAATGATTGGATGAGGAATGAATTTGGGAATGATAGAAATATTAAAAAAAAATAATAATAAACGTGTATAAGACAGAGAAAGAGAGAAAAAGAGGCGTGATCCGCGACGTCTATTCCGTGCCGCTACCGCAAGGTGTCAGCATTGGGCTCGCCAAAAGCTGGCTAGCAGCCACCATTGTTGAATCCTGCATTTGCTTGATGCCCCGACGAGATTTTTCTTTGGCCAAGGAAAATCATAAATTATCAAGGCGCCCGGTCGCGGGCTTCGCGGCAAAGGTGCGTACACACGTTCTTGTCTCAATGTGGCAAGCCCTACGTTCCTCAGATCACAACTTGGTTTTTCAACCACGTTGATATCGTAGGCAAAAGGGGAAAGATTCGCACAAGAGTTACACGTTTTTCACGTTCTCGCAAAGGGGGATTAAAAGATCGTCTGAGGAGTTATTAAAATTTAGTGCTTTGACCATTAGTGATGTTGATGAAAAATTTACGAGTGAAAGAAGGAATCGTGTACTGTTTTAACATAACCATTTCGTGGTGATTGAAAGTTTTTCATTGGAAATTTTAGGGTGCTGTGCGTCTATACGTTGTCTAGAAGAAATAGCTGTAAGGTATAAGTGCTGTTTTTCTTGAATCGCTGATACGCCGGCACGCGTATCTATCATTCCAGTTTGAAATGGTTAAAAATCTTGTAAATTTCGTTAAAAAACCTTGTAACACAAAGTACTGGTAGTGGAAAAATCATAAAGTATGATTGATTAGAAAAAAGGAGTGGAAAAGAGAAAGGAAAAGAAATCAAGAATGTCTCCATATTAATTACTTTTCAACTAAACTATTTGTTATTTGTTATAACTTTTATTTGAAGTTAACTTCATGAAGATATAAACATGACTCATTTTTAGATCGATTTCAATCATTATCTGTTTAAAAATCTCGCTTGCAATTACATACTCACGACACTCTGCCATATTAATTATTTAAAAATATTGGAGTAATCATCGAGATTAACTCCAACTTTTCTAATTCAATGTAATTTATTAAAACTTTTTTATTTGTTACCAGGAACAGAAGGTTATTTAAAAATATTGGAAAGTGAAAAGGACATTGAGAGCAACGACAGTGATCTAAAAAATCAAAAACACTATCAAGCTATTCAAGATTGGTGTCATTTGAAAAACCAGGATAACTCTCAGTATGAATTGAGTTGCTATAAACTTGATACTGCCCAAAATAATGGTATGAATTTACAAAACATTCCATACATCATTATGCTTCAGAATATACATAATAGCTTATTAAACTTTGTTTTTTATTTTTTTTTGTTTACAGGGATTCAAGTTTTGGAATCTGCGCCTCAATGGGCGCTTCCATCTAATTATTCCAGCTGGCAGTGTCAAGCAAAACAGCTATTAACATACGGCAACGTGTTTTGGGATTCCTACTGGAACAATCCAAATCTGCCTAAAGAATTTAATACAATACATCCAATTTCAAAAGAAGAAACTTATTTTGATTCAAACTCAACGGTAGCTGACATTAATAAGCCAGTATTTACCCAAACGTGTTCGAAGGTGTATGACAATTCTCACTTAGATGAATTAAATTTATCTGAGAATATTTCTAATAAGGTACAAGTCAATCCAGTAGATTTGTCAATACGTCATAAATTTGGAAAAAATTCTTATATCAAAGGTTGTAAAACGGAATCATCATTTCATGAAAGTCATCAAGATATATCAAATTATTCATCGAAGTTGGAAGTGAAGAAGTTAGATAAAAAACCTTTATCATCACTTCAGTTTAATTATTTCCACGACGACTTAAATCACTTGGATAAATCAAAAATATTTCATAAACAAAATTTCAGCAATCAAAAACTGTCAACTACTCAGCAATTGGATGTTGATTCAAACATTCTTAAGGCTGAAAAAAGTATTGATCACTCGTTGTATTTGAATACGTTATCATCAAGCAATTGGGAAGATTTCACAATGTCTGGGCAATATCCTGGACACAGTCGACCACCAGTTGGGACTCCACCACCCCAAGCAGTGTGGAATCATTTAACAATGACTCAAGGTTCAGGACTTAATATACATCCAACAGCTTTGTCAGGCGCAACACTTAATCCAGCAAACTTCTACACACATCCATCAATGGCGAGAACATCGCATTTGACAACTCAACTGCCACCTCAGCTAGCTCACACTCAAGCGCCGCCCACATGGCATACACCAACGGTACCTTCGAAAAGCGTCACTTCGTCTAGTGCGCCGGGTAATCCATTATTTAGTCTACAAATGCTTGTAGATAACAGGCAAAATCAAAGTCAGTATCGTACTTCTCCAGGTGCTCAAAATACTCTCGACCTCTCAGCGACTTCGGAAATGGCTGAAAACTATTCTAGAATGACTCAGGACATTCCCATAAGTTTGACTGCTCGAAGTGTGGATAAAGGCAGTCGTAATGGCAATATAATATCACCTCCAATACCTCTCAATGGAGAAACGTCCTCAGATAGTGGAATCAGTTCGTCTGTACCTACTCCAAATTCAGTTAGTGATCCAGTGTCGTTATCCACCAAGGAACAGTTAACGACGCCGAAAATAATGGTAAAGAATTTTGAAAGTAATCTCAAGGGTGTTTCAAATCTTCATGATAAAATAAAAGAAATAAGTAGTGGACTTGACAATTTCACCCAAAAAGTTATTAATTTACCTCCAAGCGTTACTATTGAACGAGTTTTACCGGATAAAAAAGAATCAGAGTCTGTTAAAGTTAAGGATTCGTTAAGTGTTATAGCGCAGGGACCACGAAATATACTGCCTGTGATCGTTAATCTTACTTCAAAAGCTGATAAAGATGTAATTGATAGTCCTAAACGCGAACCGTCTTCAGAACGAGAACGTAAGATTGACGAAGTAAATGTAAGGTCTCCAAAGAATCTTCCTAAACGTGGTAAAAAAGGTGTAGATTCTTTATTAGAAAAACTTGAAGGTGGCAATAAAAAACTTGGTAATGCTGAAAATATTGGGTCAGTAATTGTTATGCCTTTGGAAGATACGAAGGATGCTTCAAGTGTTAAGAGTATGTCTCCAGAACGACAAAAATCAAAATCACCAACAAGAGAAGATGATGTAGTATCACCTGCATTCAGTAATGACGACTCTAATGATAATACAAAGCAAAGACGGAAACGAAAATTAGAAAAACCTGTACGATTAAGTAAAGACTCGAAAACAGAAGTAGAAGACATGGAACTAGAGCCAACAGAACCTAGAGAACCAAGAGTTTGTGAAGTTGTTCCTGAAGAGTTAATTACTAATTTGTCGTCGTCAGTAGATCATTTACAAAAAAATGAAGCCAGATTAGGTGAAAATATTGATAAATCTAAAACGGAAGAAGAGGTAAAGAATATGACAACACATAATCAAGAACAAGTTGAAGAAAATGAGCCAATTAGGAGGCGGAGTAGTAGTGAAGGTTCTTCAACAAATCCAACACCAGCGAATCAACGAGTAAGACGAAAATCTAGCGATGACGTGACTGAATTATCCAAAATTACAAGCCCCAAAGGTGTGAATAATGCAAATCCATTTAACGAAGTTGAATCTGAGTTAGAAAAAATGTTTGCTGGAATTGTGGAAACCGGCTCCGAAGTAAAAAATGAAGAATTAAAAATGGAAAATACTACAAAAACCAATCCTGAAACGTTGAACGAAGAAAATATAGTTAAGATAGAAACAACAGCTGAGGCAGAAACCGCAAACCCGACTGATGTTTCGTCAACGGTAGAAACTAAGACAACTCCAAAAAAAGGAAAGAAAGGTCGAATACGAGCGAAAAAACGTAAAGTATCAAAACTTTCTGACAATGTATTTAGGCCAGGCATTGAAGATATACCACATAGAGATGCAAAGAAGCGAAAAACTTCTAAAGCTTCAAAGAAACAGGAGAATGGAAAGAAAAAAAAGAATTTGCGACCTGATGGTCTAAAAGAAATAGCTTATGATTCTGGATCGAATGCCAGTTCGATTAGATCAAGAGGTCCGGTGGTTCATGTTGAAGGTCCAAGAGATAGTCCATTGAGTGTGCAAGTCGTAAATGCGCCAAGAGAAGAAGAAGAAGAAAAAAATAAAGAAAAACGAAAAAGTGTAGGGAATGGAAATGTAGCAAGGAGTAAGAGACTTAGTCACCAAAACGATCTTGATTATCGTGGTAAGTTTAATTAATGTTGTAGTATTCATTCTGTTTACTAATCATTAAAATAACTTATTTTTTTTTCAAAGGTAAAGTAAGCAAAGCGGGTCTATTTAGTTCCACTTTATCATCACGATATGACGCTCATACAACAGATTCAACTTGGATTTGTGTGTTTTGTAAACAAGGTCCACATTCAGTAATACCCGGTGATCCTTTACGACCCCATCCTAATTTAGCTGGCCCTCACATAGCTCCAGGAACTTACACGGTAACTAAATTTTTAAAGTTAATATTAAAATAGTTTATACGAAAAATCATTAATGAACTTTTATTCTCTTCAAGGTTCCGGCTGGAGTTCTCAGTGATCTTTTCGGGCCTTATTTAATCGGGAAAGAACGTTTAGAGGATGGAATCTTATCGGCAGATGAACAGGAAATTACTACAGAACAGAAAAAAGGAGGAAAGAACAAAAGAAGTATAAGATACGCTGGCTTAGCAGACCAATTTACAGCAAAAATGGGCAAGAAGAAAAAAAATTCAGTTGAAGCCAATAATGCAGCAATGTTTTCGGGGATGACATTAATTTCTGGTGAAGAACAACGTTGGGAAGTTTGGCTTCATGAACAGTGTGCGGTGTGGGCAGCTGGAGTTTATTTAGCAGGTGAGGAAAATCTTTCTAATCATGCTGTTTGATTACTCGTTTTTCTATATAGCAGAATGTATTAATAAATTGAACTTTTCTTAAAGGTGGAAGGGTAACTGGGTTGCAAGAAGCTGTTTGGGATGCGACCAAGTCAATTTGTAATTCTTGTGGACTGCCAGGTGCAAATATTGGTTGTGTCAAGCGTGGTTGCAAAGCAGTGACACACTATCCCTGCGCCTTGACCAGAGGTTGGCACCTTGACAATAATCAGTATATACCGAAGTGCAACCAACATCGAGTAACGTGAAATACTGAAAAATGATATAAGAAAGAATACTAACCAAATAATTCGGATATCAAATATAATAACAGCAAGCTCTAATTTTTGATACTGAGATATTAGCGTGGTAAAAAGAAGACTCATAAAAATAAAATGAAAATTCATGGGAAGTATCATGTAAAATGATGTAAAATATTGAAAATATGGATGTTAATATGCTGCGATTCGCAAGAGACATGAAGTCTCAGTGACTGTGGTGTGAAATTATGTCTAAACATGACAGAATAGGTACAGATTAGCACTTAATGGGCTCTTCGTTGACTGGATTTCATTGACTTTCTTGGCCCGTGGCCTTGAACCGTGGCCTTTTCGATTTAATAATTAACAAACTAAAACAAAGAAAAAAAAAGAGAAGAGAACAAATTAAACTACAATTTTGTCCTTTCCATTTTGAGGTAACAATTCTATGAGTAGGCCAGCTTTAATGCATCAAAGCATTCATTACATCTAAAAATACAACAGGTTAGATAGAAAATATTCTCAACAAAAGATATTGATAATTTCCACTAAAGAATTATCATTTTTATTATTAGTTATATCATTATTAATTTTATTATTATTCTTTTAGTCAATAATGAATAAGTTTGCTTGATTTTCATGTAAATATTGGTGTATTAAAGTTCAAAAGACAAGCCTAGGATAGAGAGACTTAATTATGTTTTTAGTTAATCTATCAAAAAAATGAAAATTTATAAATTTAAATAATGAACTCAATGAACTATCTTTTAATGTAGTTCATGGTTGATTTTTTTTATTTTCCATAACAATTAAACATTCAAAATTAAATCAACTTTTTTTTATTTATATAATAATTAGATCAACACTTTTATGTAAGTGTTGTTGATTTTTTTGTTATAAGAAATGTAACATCATTTCCAAAGCTTTATAATATTATTAAAAGAATTAAATAGATTAATTCAAAATATTATTTTCTTTTTACTATAATCAAATTTACATCGGAAGGAAATTTTTTTTAAGTTCAAGTATATATGACAAATCGTAACGTTACGTAATTTGCGTGTAACACAGTTATATTTAATGACTTTAATTAAGGGCTTTCTAACTTATACTTATCATAATGAATGAGACAAATGATCACGTTTATTAAATTCACATGTAACACAGCTGCTATTATTACTGAATTATTTATTATAAATAAAATATAGCACAGTATACATACGCTAAATATTAATTTTTACAATAATAAAAATTATTTTGTCTTCTTCACCGAGTATTGGCTACTTAGACATGATTGTTTTTTATTGAATTGAAAAATTTGTAAAAAAAATTATACATAGATGATGATGTAAATAATAATAATTACATAGGTTTATAAATATATATTTACAAATATATATATACGAATTGATATGTATACTTTTAAATAAGACATAAAGAGTTCATCGTGAATCAACTGTTACATTTTTCAGTAACCTCTCACTAAATTTTGAGGTAAACAAATTAAAATCAATTGTAAATAAATATAGTGTAATAATGATGTGGTTAATTACAAGACGAAAATTGTGTGACTGGTAAGCTTATCAATGAGTATGCGATGGTAAGAAAAAATAAAAAATATCTAAAGCATAATAATTTTATTTAAATGCAGTTAGAATGTAAAAAAAAAGAAAAAGAAATATACACAATTTAAGTAAAAATAAATTTATATGAACAGAATTAATGTAGTTTATATAATACTTAAGATTAATAAGACTACACTTTGTAAAAATGGAGATGACGCTTATATTCTACAATTATATGTAAAACAAAGAAATTACAAAAAATGAAATCACAAAAACTTATTGAAAATGTGTAATAAAATTTGTGATAAATGAATTAAAAAAATCATGAAAAATTATTACTATAAAAGGATTGCCTATATAACTTTGCATACACTGAGCAACCTAATTATATCAAGACAATGATATATAAAAAAAAAATAGATTAATCGTTTTATGAATAAATAATTTCATGGGAACATGTTTATAAATCTGTTCAATATTTCTAGATTATCAATTTATGTGAAAACAAATATAATTAATTGAAACTGTGTGCTTTTTGTACACACAGTGTTCGAACTATCTGAATTGTTGTATGAGTGTTTGTATATCTTGTGTGTGTGTGTGAGTGTGTGTGTTAGTGTGCAAGAAATAAAAATGAAATTAGAAAAAAAACCGTGATTTTACCCAAAGCACTTGATGGAAATGGATTATAAATAAATTGATAAGTCTTATGAAAATCTAGTTATCGCAGAGCCTATGATGAAAAATTTGTAAAATATAATCTATATACATATACATATATATAAATATATATGTATAAAATCAAATATAAAAATGACATTGTAAAATAACTTCAGGTTCAAATGAAATGTAGAGTAAATTATTAAATGGTGAATTTAGATCAAAAGCCGGTAGAAATCCTGATAATGAGTATACGTTTTATGTTTTAGAAAAATGCAAAAAATTACTATTATGTATATTAATCAAATTTATATATATGTGTATATTTTTATTTAATTTTGCGATTTTTTGGTTTATTTTATTCCATAATCTTTTTGCGTCAATTCAAAAATTATTTCATTAAATTGACTAATATTTTTCCGTGACCTGGTTTATTTTAGAAGAATTATTGGAGAAAAAAATTATCAAGTTTTTATTAAAATTTAAAAAATTTTTAATTTATAGACAGCTATCATTGAAAATTGATACGAATGCCATTAAGTATCCATCTTTGTGTAATATAAATATAATGATTAATAAATTACGATAAAAATCATTACTGAGTACAAATTCATGATTGTGTAAGCTTCCGGCATTTATCATTATGAAATGTCACAGAATATTCGTTCGTAGTACAGACTTATATTTTAGCAGATAAAATTGAATCATCATTTCTCAGATTTTTCTCAAACTAGAATATTATCAGTTGATAGTGAATGCAGTAATTTAATGGTTGTTTCAAGTTATGTAGAAAATAGCAATGGATAAATTTTCAAAGAATTTTTATATTATTTCAAATTTCAATAAGCAAATAATTATCGCTATGTTTTTCAATTCAATTATACATATGATCTTTTAGATGAATTATATTTGACGTCAGCATAAACATATTAACTATTATTATGTTTTTTATCACAATATTCTGCAATATATAATAAATCATGTATTTGTCTATGCAGTGTATGATATTTAATTGAATTTAATTTATTTTTGCAATTTATTGGAAAAAATAGGCTTAATATGATACACAACACAAATTAAAAAACGTTGAAGTCAATTACCAGCAAATATAATAATAGAATTTATAATGGTTTATTACAAAAATTAAGATGAAGAAATAGTGAATAATTAGTTGGTGTCAATTATTGCTTCATTGGTCTCTCCATGATATTTATATAATTTTTTCAATTTTTTACATAGGCTTTGCCACTTTATTTCTTTACTAATAATTTACCCATATTTCTTCTATCAATTGCATAATTCTACACAATTTTTCCATCTAAAAATCTATTCTTCAATTAAATAATATAATATCAATATCTTTAATATATATTTAAAGGAAAAAATTTACTTACAAATAATTTTATTTTTTTCTTTATTATAACATTTCAAAAATGTATAATACAATTTCAATCCACGAGTTTCACAGTTATTTTGTATTTTCCGCCGTTAAAACTTTGACTTATACTGAGAAGGATTGGTTATCAAACGACCAATCAGATCGTCCATTTTTAAAGTGACTGAGCATTTCCTCCCACCACAATGGATTGTCAACTGTTGACTGGGTTGCATCTGGCGTTGGATCTTTTTTCAGTATTTTGCCGATCGTCAAAAAGACATGTTCTGTGATTGTTTATTCTTTTGAAATCTTTTGTTGTGCGACTCAATGTTGTTTGAGTCGCACATGTTTTAAATTACAATATGAGTTTACGTTGAATTGAAGTAAATAGTTGCTTTAAACGCTGTCAAATCTGGAAAAAATTGACAATAATGTGGACGCAGAAATGGGCAATTTAGCTACGGTGGTGAGATTTGGTGCTGCTTTGTTGCCCTACTTTGTGGATTACGCGCAAGGGAATAACGAAACTATACCAGGTAAATGTTAAAGAAATGAAAAATCATCATTTTTGGAAGTGAGTCAAAATGTATTTGATCAAGTGTATCAGTGTTATCAAACCAAATTTCCAATACACCGCATCCACGACAGATAACAAACAGTCATTTTTATTTTAAGTGATTATACATTTAATGAAATGAACATTGTCAGCTAACTATTAAGTAGCTTATAAAGTAAATGTTAGGTTGCTTTGGCAATTAAACACTTGTCGAAGTTTTCATAAGCTCTGGTAACATACTGAACATGAAAACCATATCGTTATTGTTTGCTTATATTATGTCAAGCTTTGAAGCCTTACGACGTATAGCTCACCACAATCATTTGCAATTTATGTAAACGATCTAAAATTACTCAAATTAGTTGAATTCGTTGATACAACTGTAAATGCACTTAAGATAAAGTGCTTTTCTTTGTTTAAACTCAATTATTTCTTCTAAGCATAACTAGCCGTATTATGTCTGCAGAAGTTTAACAACTAAGTGAAAGGATGAGAACCGTTTTCTTCAACTTATATTTACCTTTAATACCTTTACTTGGTACACTTGAACGCGCCAAGAGATGCTACTTGCTACGCTTGTTTTTTTTTCTAAATACCATACCAACAACTTATAGTAACTAGAGATCTGAAGATCTGAAATTGAAAAATCTTAGAGCCATTATAGGAGTATGATAAAATTTTTCACTTTCTTTATAGTAGAGTCGAGTATCGAAGTCATTCAAAGGCAAGAAATCGAACCTTGTCGATACTATTAAAGTAATGATGTTGGATAATATTAAAAGACGAAATATGATTCATACATGAAAGTATTAATATCACTCTACAAGATTGTATATAAGAAATAGACAAGCACTTCTTCCACCTTATAAAGTAAAACATTAATTACCAATAGCCTTATGAAGTATCTCAGATCTCAAATATCTGTGGTGCATGTTACATTACTGAAAGTTTGATAAATATCCTGCAGTAAAGCTTTTTCAACTGTCAAGGGTATTGTTGTGTACAATAGAATAGTACCTGCATGGTACAAGGCTTATGTTATCTGACCTGTGAGAGTCTAAAAACCCTAAAATTCTACCATACTAAATTCTTGGTATTTTAGTTACACATGATCCATTTGTTAAGAGGAATAGACTTGACTTGTAAGAAAGTTTTGGATACGTTGAAATCACGAGTTACCAAGTAAGATAACAAATGAAATGCTGATGCTTGTTGATTGTCTTGGATCGTCTATAGCATTTCCCTTTGTTTTTCGCTGTACCGTTACTTTTATCTCTATAAGTTGCATAGTAGTTTTTATAAATATCAGAAATTGTAATGACTTCGTGTCTATTAAACTCGAAAGAAACAAAGACAAGAAAATTGTCAGTTATCTGCACGACTTACCTATATCTGACAAATTTTTTTATAATCATTGTACCGCTTATTCTGAGAAAAAGATTCGCAGAGAGTTGATATGTCTGCTTCCCCACTTTCTTGACTTTTGGATGACCCTTTAATTTTATGTATTCACAAACTTTGTGCTCGTGTTCATCATCGCACGACCTACATTTTTCATAGCTATCCACAAAATAAATCTTCCTGACCTCTGATACTTCACGACATCGTGGTTTTATTCATGATGCTTTTTCATCTAAGAATTCACATGGAAGTACTTTTTAAAAAGTCATATTTTGATCATAGACATTTTTATAAAAAGTTGAAAGTTTCTAAGGAAATTTCCCTTTTTATATTAATCATATTATTTAAAAAAGTAAAAGACTTTAATTCATTCATAAACTAGAGTCTTGTTTAGAAGAATCCAAAATTATAGTTTAGTTTGTTGAAGCTATATATATTCCACTAACATTTCACGGTAATTATGGATTACTGATTGGTTTCACTGGAATTTTTTTACCATTTCCTTTTAGAAATTAGGGCCTATTTTTACGTTGGACATAAATTTCGCACGGTTACTATATTTTTTAAAACTAAAAGGTCGTCATGATACTTCCGGAAAGTCAAACACGCGATCTGTCTTGTTCTCAATATTTTTAACATTTTAATATGGCAATAAATATTCTTAAATTCTCATGAATTATACCTTGGCATTTTTTACAACAATATTATTCAAATTATTTTCATCGTTAATTTTTTATTTAAATTCAATTTTCATGTAAATCAAATAATGTCAAAATTTTCCATATCCGCTTACAAATGAAAATTTCTCAATTAACCATAAAAATATGTTGACTTTTATGTAACTATTAGAATAATTAATGTATACGTTTTCATGGTTAAAAATATTTACATTTAAAAAACTTTCACTATTTTTTAACTTGATATATGTAAGTAGCAGTATACAACCAAAATATGGCTTCACAAAGAGTAGAGATTACCTATAAAATAAAATATTCCACCATGATACCAAACAACTTGCATAAAAATACATTTGAAAAAGGGATATCAAGTTACATATGAATATGTTTTCATTGAACTTTACTGAATTTTTGCAACATAAAATTTCCACATTTCATGTACAATATTCACTAGCAATTCCATGAATGTTGATCCTCTAGATAAAATATAATGCTTTCAAATGCTTCCTTATAACCAGACTAAGTTCAAAACATGATTTGATAAGAATTGAAATGCTAATTTCTCGGGTGATTGGTATAACTTTCCCTCTCTTTTTTTCCAAAGCAGGAAGTCAAGAGAATAATGTCATTAACATCGATAAAAAATGATAGTTGATAAATGTTACTGATTGGCTGATTGCTATTGGCTGATAATTAAAATTCCATTAAGATAGATTGTATTTTTTAAATCATAATAACACATTATGGGATCTATAGTTTAAATTATACTCATTAGGATCACTTAGTCATTTTTTATGCTTGATTAGGATCAAATTTTAAATGAATAAACAATAATACTCCAATATTATTTTGGAGTATTCTTTTATTATCAATAACATAAATAATAGAAACATTTACCAAAATAAATTGAGATATAATTTGATGTTTATGTGAGAAATTAAACATTTTACTATCAAAAATAAGCTGGATTTTGTTTTGGTAAATTGATAGGCTGGTTTTTTTGATAATCAATGACAGATGAGAATGTTTAGAAATTATTTGAAGAAATATTTAATAATTTTTATATCCGGAAGTTCCAAGTGATTCTCATAGTGATGTAGAACACGAAGTGAATTGGAATAGATGAGTAATAACATTTTCAAGGGAGGATGTGAGCCACTATATAATATTCTTCACGACGGGAATTGGATCATCAAACGGATAATGCACCCACACGTTGGGTTACGCGTGATATTATGTGTGTAAAAGGTAATAACTTAATTCCACCTATGTGAAGTTAAAGTCCTATGTGAGTGCAATATAACAGGATTCCTGAAATAACTCGTTTTTAGTTTGACTTTTTAACAAATTAATTCTGATAATAACTTGCTATCATATTTAATAAATGTGATGCAAAGAAAGATCACATATGAACATGAAATGAAGCTTTGATCATTTAGAGTATTCACACCATCAAGAGACCTACTACATATTCAATTTCTCGTCAGTGATGAAATGAAACGAATTACAGTTCAAAAAGAGAGATGTTGCGCTGCGATAATTATAGGTATAGCGTATTTTATATTTCACAAGTCCTACTTTTTTCTCATTCACAATTATTAATTATTCTATTTTTCGAATGAATATGAATTTAGATGAACATGTACAAATGAAAAAAATGTCTTTTTGCACTAACTTTGAGTACAAAAAAATTTCATCAAAAACACACTGCTGAGAAAAGAGAATAGGTCTTTATCTGCTACACTTTTGTTGCACCAATTTTTTTTTTAAATTTTATGATGATATAAATTGTTTCAAAATTGATGTAAAAAAAATTCAACTTGAGCGTGAAAGACGACTATTGCATCAGAACAATTAATAGAAAGAAAACAATAGATTTCATAAGCTGTTATTATGGTTGGACATAACCTATCTTAATTAAACTCCAGTAATATTCATTACATTTTTTATTGCTAAGATATTTTTTACACTGCTAAAGATATTGATTAAAGATATATATTATATTATATTATTCATAAGCATTCACTGATTGATATGATGAATATTTTTAAATCTTAGTATCCAGATTTTTGTTTTCATTTTCAAACTGACAAAATATAGTTATTATTTATAATAGAACTGTTAACTCTCCAAGTGTCAAAATACTATCAAAAGCTCCAAAAAAATCACACCATTTATCCCCTTATTAATTATCTCAACAAAAAAACTCCAATTTATTATTCCAGATGACCTACTGTACCATCAAATCTCAGTCTCGAAGAAGTTGATATTCTATTTACATTCACCAGAATGCTATCCAATCCAACAAACTAGACTTCCCACCCAAGAATTAAGACCAAACCTTTTAGACCAGACACATTAAACTTTCATGAATATCAAACAGTTAATTTAACACCAAAAAAAAGGGAAATGTGCTGTCTAATGTAATAGATCTTTTCAGATTCTTGTTTACATGATAATTAACACCTCAATACCATTCTAATCCTGAACATCAAAATAATTTCAACAATATGTTATGAATTTTAATGCCTTTCTATCTACAATGTTTCATCAATGAATCTCCTTCTCACGTATGCAAGAAGCATCTCTGGTAATTAATGACCCTACTACCTAAATATTCGTGGAGAAATGATGCTTATTTCCTTTGGTATTCATCATGGAGAAATATATATCACTAATAACTAAAGCAACACTCGAATATTCAAGTAGATGAAAGAAAAAGATTATGGGTTTATATTAAGAGAAAGTACTGAAGTGAAGGAACACTATACTACGTTTATATGTTCATAAAAATTAATATAGATCGAATTAATACTCAACATTGTGTACAGAATGAAATGACGTCTTATATATTTAAAAAATATGGTATGAAAAATATATAAAGAGACAGTTATTTTTATTA